TTTTGAGGGATGCTTTCAGTGTTTCTGTGCTTGCTTTATCTATTTCAACACACTGCCTGACTTTTCCAAAGTTCTTTAAGCAAACATATTTTCCTCAAAAATACTTTTCATATCCTCAAAGGAGCATTCAGAATGTCTACATTTGCTATAAGCAAAACCAACACCCTGTTTAAATCCAGCAATCTCATGTTGGGCAAGTGTGTGTCCACATATGGCAGTGCTTCTCAAATAGTGGGGCGATACCTGGGCACATGTGACCCTGGGGAACAGACTTTTTTTGGGGGGCCGTACTAGTATAAAGTGTAATTTTTCGTTAGCGACAGTGCAACATTTCACAACTTACAAGACAACGGGTTTGCCATGGTTACCAGTGCCATGGTTACCAGTGCCATGGTTACCAGTGTCATGGTTACCAGTGTTACCAGTGTCAGCAGAAAGCTCCGACGGCGTTCTGTCTATAGCCTCCGTCATTCAACGTAACAACCCCCAACATGGAAAAGTTTTTAACAGTGATGAAAAGAAAATACAAAGAAGACAAAGTTAATGAGAAAAGAGAAAGTGACCCGAAAGCTAAGACGAGGAAATACAACGAAGCGTATTTAGCGCTTGGCTTACTGTGACTACAGTTGGAGAAGAGGCAAGACCGGTGTGTTTGGTGGGTCTAAAAATGCTCGCAGCGGACAGCATGAAGCCAAATAAATTAGCGCGTCACTTAAATGCCTTGCACCCCAATCACGCCGATAAGCCGCTAGAGTTTTTTCAGCGAAAACGTGCTGAATATTGCCAACAGTCATCCCGCTTTGTGAAGGCTACTTCAGTAAACCATCGAGCGCTGTTATCATCATATAAGGTGGCTTACCAAATTGCGCAGTGCAAAAAGGCCCACACCATAGCAGAGGAGCTGATACTGCCTGCAGCATTAGACACGGCCTCTGTCATGATGGACCACGCCAGTGCAGCAAAACTAAAAACCATCCCTCTGTCCAATGACACTGTCGCCAGACGTATAGATGATACTGCCAACGATCTTCAAGAACAGCTGGTAGAGAAACTCAAAGACAAACGTTTTGCCTTACAATTTGAGGAAGCAACTGACAGCAACAAAGAGTGTCTGTTTATTGCTTATGTACGTTTTGACTTGTCCAACTCCCTGTGTGAGGATCTACTTTTATGTAAATATGTCAGACACAGAGCCACAGCTGAAGAGCTATTCAAAAGTCTTGACTCCTTTTTGACTGAGAATGGGCTAACGGGGGAGAACTGCATTGGTGTTTGCAGTGATGGTGTACAAACCATGGCAGGGAAGAGAAAAGGACTTAGGGCACTCATCAAGACAGCCTCACCTCATGCTGAGTGGACACACTGTATTATACACAGAGAAGCATTTGCATCCAGGCAACTTTCTCCTGAATCAAGTGAGGTTATGACTGCAAGCACGTGCAAAAGGGGGGTGGTAAGGGGGCTTGAGCACCTGCCCCTTTTGCTCCATGATCCAAATGTGCCCTTTTGGTACATTTTTTTTAATTTTTTTTATTTGACACATGTACTGAAATTATTATTATCATCTTTTTTTTTGCAAGAAAAACAGCACAATAAGCCCTATGGTCACATTGTTACCTTTGACCTTTTCCCGGTGACGCACGGCGACGCACTCTCACACAGTCAGATAAGGCGGCTAACTGCGGAGCTAAAGGTAGCGAACATTCCACATTACAGAACAGTTTTTTGTGA